GAAGAGAGAGGAGAAGAGGAGGGGAGGAGGGGAGGAGGGGAGGAGGTCTGGGCGCCGTGCTTTTTGGGTCGGCGTTGGGCCCTCCTTCCCGTTCGAGTGGGGAGGGGGGCCCGCGCGGACCCAAGAATCAGGAGGGAAAACACACACAGGCATAATAAATCGTCGATTCCCCAGAGAAGACAGGAAAATTGTGGAAGTGGGGGGGAAGACAAACACTTATTTGTGTGTCCCAGGGCCCCTTTTAAGAACTCCGCGCGGATCTTCCAAAAGCTGGCTGGCGGCTGGCCTCGACGGATCGCCGGCGAGATGGGGGCGATCCCGAACGGAGGCGGCGCAGGGATATTGAGACCGCGCCTGACTACCCTGCGGGCCTGTTGCGGCTGGCCAGGAATGCCTCAAGGGGCGTTCTGTGCGTAACCCCAAACTTTGCCAAGGCTGCTCAAAGTGTGCCAGAGTAGTTTGGTTGGGAGGATCGCGTCGCATCTCCGATGCATCGGCGGTGCTGCGCGAACTTGTGCCCGATATCTGCCATCCTGACATCGCCGATGCATCGCCGACGCATGGGCAGTGCGGTGCGATGCTCGGACCCCATGTGCTCTGGCCTGCAGGAGGTGGAGGGGCAGAATAATGGGAAGAGGAAGAGGATGCGGATGATGATGATGATGATGATGATGATGATGATGATGATGATGATGATGATGATGATGATGATGATGATGATGATGAAGATGATGATGATGCTGACGATGATGATGATGATGATGATGATGATGATGATGATGATGATGATGATGATGATGATGATGATGATGATGATGATGATGATGATGATGATGATGATGATGATGATGATGATGGTGATGGGGATGGTGATGGTGATGGTGATGGTGATGGTGATGGTGATGGTGATGAGGAGGAGGAGGAGGAGGAGGAGGAGGAGGCGGGAGAGGGGGAATAGGATGATCAGGAGCAGGAGGAGAAGGAGGAGCGGGAGGAGGCGGAGCGAGGAGCAGAAGGAGGAGGAGGAGGAGGAGGAGAAAGTCGTGATGGGAAGAGAGGAGAAAGTCGTGATGGTAAACGAGGTGGAGAGAGGTGGATAAGGAGGAGGAGGAGGAGGAGTCAGGGTGGGCGGCGCAGCAGTCGAAACTGCCGACCGTGTTGGCCTCGAAGCCGGCCCAGCCGTAGCCGGACAATGATGAAGTGGCCGTGCACGATGAACACGGCGTTGCCCTCCACGGAGCCGAGCGCCACTCCATCGATGACCGTTACTGGAAATAATAACAAAACAAACCCGCGCGGGTGGCGGCAGCTCTCTTGCTCGCTTTGGGCCACGGCTCACGGCCTGGCCGCTTCACGCATTCGCGGCCTGGCGGGCGGCGGCAGATCTCTTGCCCGCATTGGGCCGCGGCTCACGGCCCACCCGCCTCGGGTGCTCGCGACCCGTGGGCGTGGGCTCCACGGGGCAAGGGCCGACCAGGCTCACCACCCACCAAACCACCCCAACCCAACCCGAAGGCTTCGATTTACCCTCTAGTTCCAGTGGGGTGTGTGAGGGGGGGGGGATGGTCGGGGAACATGGAAAAGCCACATCTGGAACCCGTACCCTCCCCAACCCGAAACTCGGGTCTTCGGGTTGGGTTGGCATGGTCTGGCAAGCACACGCCACATCGCGGCTGGCAGGCGGCCTCGGACGGCCGCGGCGAGGCCGCGTGTGGCCGCGGCACCGCGCCCCGCGCCGCTCCTGGCGCCGCGGGCGCGCCACTGGCGCGCACCACGGCGCCGCCAGCCTGCCAGGCTGCGCCCCCCGGCGTGTTTCGGGAACCCCCCTGGCGCCCCGACCGGCCGCGCCAGCGGCGCACGCGGCGCCAGCAGCCACGCCGTGCGTGGGTCGTCGTCGTCGTCGTCGTCGTCGTCGTCGTCGTCGTCGTCGTCGACGCAACCGTCGTCGTCGTCGTCGTCGTCGTCGTCGTCGTCGTCATCGTTGTCGTCGTCGTCGTCGTCGTCCGCGGCAGCGGGCGGCGGGCGGCGGGCGGCGGGCGGTGATGGCTCTCCGACGTCGAAGTCCGACGCCTCGAGCAGGTGCGGCCTTCATCCTCCAGCGAGTGCGGCGCAGGGAAAGCTGGCGGCGCGAGGCCCTGCACGGAACCGCTGCCGTGGAGTCCTGGGTGGAGCGTAGCAGCCGCCAAGGTCGACTACACGTAAGAGTGACCGTTCGCCGGAGTGATCTTTGGTGCGGACCCAATGGATACCCCCAGTCGCCGAACGCGATGCGGTGTAGTAGCGTCTTGCGCGCTCGTTTTCGGTCCCCTCGCGGCCCCCAGAAATCCGCGCACCAAACAAAGGCCACTCTTACCCAGGGTCTTTTCTTGCGTGTAGTCGACAAGGGGCCGAAGTCGCGAGCTGACTCGAACGGCCGACGCGAGCGCGCTCGGCCAGCGTCGCGCGAGCCAATTCGGTGTCGGCCAGCAGCGTGGTCAGAGGCCGTGCCTCCTCGTGCAACCATCTCGTCAGCCTCCTTATAGGGAGTCGACATGCACCGCGGGGAGAGCATCGCGACCTCGCGCGGCCATGTCACGGCCCAGTCGCGTTCAGATATCGATGGCCCCATCGCCGCCACCAGCCGTCCCAATCGGCGCCACAAGCCGTTGTGCACGGCCAAGTCATCCGCCGCGTAAAGTTTTGATGTGCGCGCCTCAACGAGGACCAAACCAAACAGTTCTCCACGATGACGTCCAGGAAGAGGATCGAGCAAGACGCCCGTGGTGGCCGTGGAACGGGCGTCCATCACAACGACGGCGATGCCATCGTGGTGCACATCGGGTGACGTGATCATCGCGAAGCATAAGTGATGACAGTGTTGCAGCATGAAACGTAACATCCAATCCCAGTGAAACCGCAATCCGTTCGTATTCTGAGCCGACCCTTTTGAAACATGTCGGCTGAGAATACGGACGGCTGGCACGTCCCCATACCACGAACCAATCAAGTGCCCAGCACTGACAGCACAATATTGAAGTACGAACTGACATTCGGCAACAATTGATTTTTGCCACCGCTGGCCCATGACAGCAGTGAACCTGATAACGCGCCGAAGGGCCGCGTCTTGTTCCCACCTGCCTGCCCGCTGCCAGCAGTGTAGCTAATGCCTCTGATTGCAGGGACCTTATGCCTCTGATTGCCCTTCTCGCACGTGCTGGAGGAACCGTTGTAGCTGATGACGGGCGGCGCAAGCTTCGTCTCCCACATACCGTTCAGCCGCTTCTGAGCACCTCAACTCTTCTCGCCATGCTTCCAGGCGCCCACTGCGGTATTGTAAGAGAGGGGGACAGAGTCCGATGCTCCAAACGTGCGCACCAACAGCATAATGCGGGGGCAAAAGGAGCGACCCAGAAGTCATTGAAACCATTCACCACGAGTACCCCTTCACCTCGGTTCAGCCAACCCGAGCGACTGCGCACAAGGCCCATGTGACGAGTTGACACTCAAGCGCCACGTTGAGACATCGAGGTGCGGCTCATGTCCAAGAGATAAGCCAACCGGGGCCACCAGACATGATAGAGCCGCATGTGCTTGAGAGGAGGAGGCACATGAGGAGGAGGGGGAGGAGGAGGAGAAGGAGAAGGAGGAGGACAAGGAGGGGCAAGCGGAGGAGGATGAGGAGGAGGAGGAGGAGTAGTCGCAGAGGAAGAAGCGGAGGAGGAAGAACCAGGAGGAGGATGGAGAGGAGGGAGAGGTGGAGGAGGACGATGAGGAGGAGGTGGAGGAGGAGGATGAAGAGGACGAGGAGGGGAAGAATGAGGAGGCTTATGACGATGATGAAGGCGCAACCCCTACTCAGCCGCTGCTCTTTCCTTCCTGGCAGCATTCCTTCCCAGATCGTGCAAAAAGATGGCCCACGAGGCTTCCACGAGGGCCCCAGCGCGGCCCAAACCATCATTTGAACGCCTTCTGCGAACATGGTTGCCGCCGCCAGTCCGAAGAATCGGGCGGGGAGGAGGATGAGGAGGAGGAGGAGGGGGGGAGGAGGAGGGGGATGAGGATGATGAGGAGGAGGAGGCGGTGGAGGAGGGGGATGAGGATGAGGAACAATCCGAATACTAATACTATTACTAAGACTACTGCTTATACTACGAGTAATAATAAGAAGACGAAGGATTCCAATAATACCAGTAACACTGCCAGCGATCATATGACGAATACTACTACGAATGAGGTTGATACTAATACTGCGAATACGCAGAAGAAGACAACGACTAATAATACATCGACGATCATACTACTACGACGACGGATAATCTAAAGCGACTACTAACAATACTACCCATACAAATAATAGTCATCCGAATGCTAAGACTACTACTAATAATAATACGAATGTTGAAACTATTGCTATTACATATCTTTATACGACGACGCAAAGACAGACGACTACGAAGACTACGACAACGACGACTACTACTAATCATACTAATACGTTTGATACTCATAGTAACGCTGATAAGACGAAGACAACGAATACGAAGACGACTAAGACGAACGCGAAGGACAAGACGACGACGCATCATATCAACAATAATGCGAATGCAAGTAATATGAAGAGGAGGAGAAGGACGGGGGAGAAGGTGGATTAGGAGGACAAGGATGATGATGATGAGAAGGAGGAGGGGATGAGGAGGAAGGGGAGGCGGCGGATGAGGAGGAGGAGGAGGAGGAGCAAGGGGAAGAGGGGGAGGAGGAGGAGGAGGGGGAAGAGGAGGAAGAGGAGGACAAGGAAGGGGCGGGGGGGAGGAGGAGGATGAGGAGGTGGAACACTAATGCGAAGCTTAATTCTAGTATTACGAGCAATACTACGAACGGTAATATGAACAAGACGATAGTACTACCAATAATACGAATAGTCTTCGCCTAATCATACATTGACGAATATACTACTACGACGAAGACGGATCCGATAAAACGTTGACTAATAGTACTAACCATACCAAGAATATTCATTGGACCAATGATACTACACGATTAACACTATTTGTATTGCTGGTCCCGCGCCTGCTCCTCGCCCGGACTGCTTTTGCTGCGTGTCTGTTCGTTTCTATATGCATGCCCTCGCGCCTATGTTTGACGAACGTGCGTGCTCCCATGCCTATGCCTGCCTACAGGCGGCGTGTGCATGTTCTTCGCTTCTACGTAGTTTCAACCTTACGGCGGCGGTGGCGGGCATCCTCGCACCCCTCTCTGCGGCTGGTTCGCGCCGAGTCGACGCGGCGACGACCCCGCCACGGGCGTTGCAGGTTGAACACCGCCAGTGGCCCAGAGTCCGCATGCATGGAGCGGTCTTGCGATCACAGAGCCGCCGATCGTTCAAGGCTGAGCGATCCACGCCGTGTCGGGAGTCAACGATGCCAGTCGTCACGACGCGAACCTGCCGCAGCCTGTGCATCCTGTCGCCAGGGGCAGCTTTGGGGGGGACAAGCTCAGGGGGGGGGGGGGGGACATCGCCCCCGGTGGCCCGGGCCTGCTGGCCCGCCTCGCACAGGAACGTACCGATTCGCTGTCGAGGGCCCATCGCCGAGCTATCGGCGATGCATCGCCGATTTCAGCTGGCCCCCACCCAGCGTGCCCCCCTCCCTGAGTTGGCCCCCACCCTAACGTTCCCGACGAAATCGTCAGCATCATCATCATCACCACCATCATCATCATCATCACCATCATCATCATCATCATCAGCATCATCATAACCATGATCATAATCATCACCATCATCATCATCATCCTCAATACCACCATCACCGTCATCATCATCATCACTATCAGTATCAGCCTCACCGTCATCATCATCATCATCATCACCATCATCATCACCATTATCGTCACCATCGTCATCATCAGTATCATCATCATTAGCATTATCATTGTGATCGTCGTCATCGTCGTCATCATCATCACCCCTCTGAGCTGGTCCCCACCCTAATGTTCCCCATCTTCTCGCCTTAGCCATGGCGGCAGCGTCGCGGTGGTCCGTCGCGCAGAACCAGTGCCAGCAGAGGTCGTGCCTCCTCCACGCCGGCCGCCACCTTTGTGAGGCTTTACCTGCGGGCGTTGCCCATGTGCCCAGGCGTAACCATGTAGCATATTTTCGGTGAAGACGACGGGGGGCAGGGGAAGAGGGACTTAAATATTTGACGATGTGATATTTTTCAAAATCCGCGGGCACCAGAGGTCTTTCACGCCACCCAGGGGCAATTTCCCGTCCGATATCCATGTTTGGTGGCCCTGGGGTCCAGTGGCTGCTTCTGGAGGCCGAATGAGGAAACGCGGCGGGACTGAAATATCATCCTCCCTGGATGTCTGAGGAGGTGGACCGAACCCGATGAAGATTGGCTGCTCGAATAGATTTGACAATGCGCCTGCTCATCCCTGAGCGACGTCGTCGTCATCGTGCCAAGGCGAGCTCATCCCTGAGTGATGTCGTTGCCTGCGTCATCGTGCCAACGCGAAGGCACCGAGGGACGACGCAGACTTACGGAGGCTGGATGAGTCATACTGCGCCCAGCCAAGAAATAGAGGCCGCTCCTTGAGAGTCTCCCACGCAAGATAATCATCGTCTTCCTCCTCATGCCTCCTCATCCTCAACCTTCCGCCTGGCCATTCATCCTGCGCGTCCTCTTTCCCTCGAAGTGCTGCACTCATACGACTGATTCAAAAACAGCTTTCAGATCAGAGTCCGAGTTTTCTTAGCATGTATAAGAACATCTAAATTCCAGAGTAGACTGATGAGATTTGCTTAGATTTGTAGTGTCGCCTCTTCCTCCTTCCTTCTGTCTCTTATTTTCAGCAGCTTGCTCTTGCGGCATCTGCTTTTCCATAGATTTCGGCATATTTGTCTTACCTCGACCTAGACCACGAGTTACGACATGTAGACTTGCAACGTCTGATGTCTTGGGCTGAAGTGAAGTGTTTTTAGCCACAATTTACAGCGCACGCGATTTTGATTGTCTTCCCATTTTCTGTTTTGCTTTTGCTGTGTGTCTATTCGTTTCTATATGCCCTCTCGCCTATTTGAGACGAGCGTGCATGCTCCCCTGCCTATGCCTACAGGCGGCGTGTGCACGTCTTTGCGTTGATTTAGTTTCAACGTTGCGGCGGCGGCGGGGGGCAGTCCGCAACCCAGTTTGTTCCTTCAGTAGCTTCTGCAAGGGATCCGTACAAGTTTCCTGAGGCATTGGTAGATGGATCGCTGGATCAGCAATCGTTCGCGAAACGTTGGCTCTCGTTGACTCCCGTTGCTTCCCGATGTAAAGTCTCGCCATTATCGTTCGTATCATTGTCAGTATTGGTATTAGCCGTCGTATGTGTTTTCGTGTCGTGATTCGGTTTGATACTACCAGTCGCATTCGTACTTGTATACGTACACCTTTAAGTACTACGAACCGTTTAAGTATGGATGCTGTTACTGCTAGAAATGGCGTATGCAGTCGTGTCACAATGTGTGGTGATATGAGGCGTGTGGGTAGTGTGTGCGTTGGGCTTGCTTTAAGTACCAGTATCATTGCTTTCCTGTTGTGCCAGCAGTATCGGCATCAAGTGTATAGGTCGTAGTAATGTGCCAGTATTGAAAACGGTGTTCGTATTGGTAGCACTATTCCTGATGTGAGAAATTGTACCAGTAACTCCTAGGATTATTAGTATTCAGCACCCGTATTAGTTTATCACGAGCGGTAGAACACATATGCGGAGTATCGATCGCACTACCATTCGTAATGGTGTTGCACCTGGACGTGTTTGTGTGCCTCATTCGGATCGCAAGTCATAGTATTACCAGGGCCACTCTCAGGTTTGTCAGTATTAGTGTTGCTTATATTCTTGTTGTACCAGTATCGGTACCACTTTTCGGTTTCGCATCCGTACTCGTGATCGTAAGGCCATATTGTAGACACGCGATTCCGAATCGACCTAACTGGATTGTTCGTGTTACTTGTCGTGCTCGTGTGATTGTGATCAGTAGTCGTAGTCGCAGTGGCAGTCGTAGTAGACGTAAGTTTCCTTGTCGTAGAGGTCTGCATGCAGCTCAGTGTAAGTAGTCGTACGAGTACTCGCAGTAGTAGTGGTAGTAGCCGTGGCCGTAGTCGTAGAATTCGTAGGATTACTAGTGGTAATTGTAGTAGTAGTCGTAGCAGCAGTAGCAGTAGCAGTAGCAGTAGCAGTAGCTGTAGTAATAGTAGTAGTAGTAGTAGTAGTAGTAGTAGTAGTAGTAGTAGTAGTAGTGGGAGTAGGATTCGTAGTAGCAGTAGTAGTCGTAGGAGTAGTAGTCGTAGTCGTAGTAATCGTAGTAGTCGCAGTCGTCGAGGTAGTATCAGCAGTTGCCGGTGTAGTCGTACTCGTGTTCGTACAGCTAGTAGTAGTGGTAGTAGTAGTAGTAGTAGTTGCCCAAGTAGTAGTCGTCGTCGTAGTGATAGTACTAGTAGCAGTAGTAGTAGCAGTAGTCTTGATCGTAGTGTATTAGTAGTAGAGGTGGCCGTAGCAGTAGTAGAAGTAGTAGTGGTAGCAGTAGTAGAATTAGTAGTCTTAGTAGTAGTAGTCGCAAGTGCCATATTAGTAGTAGTAGCCGTCTCATTGTTAGTTCTAGTGGTGGTAGTAGTAGTACCAAGATTAGTAGTAGCAGCCGTCCGAGAAATAGTAGTGGTGGTTGCAGTAGTAGTCGTATTCTTAGTAGTAGTAGTAGTAGTAGTAGTAGTAGTAGTAGTAGTAGTAGTACTAGTAGTACTAGTAGTCGTAGTAGTAGTAGTAGTAGTAGTAGTAGTAGTAGTAGTAGTAGTAGTAGTAGTACGCGAAGTAGCCTAGGTATCCGTAGTAGTAGTAGTAGTAGTAGTAGTAGTAGTAGAAGTAGACGTAGACGTAGAAGTAAAAGTAGTAGTAGTAGTACTAGTCGTCTTTGTCGTCGTAGACATGATGGTAGTACTCGTACTAGTCTTAACTGTAGTAGTGGTAGTGGTAGTGGTAGTAGTAGTCGTAGTCGTAGTAGTAGTAATAGTAGTAGTAGTAGTAGTAGTAGTAGGAGTAGTAGTAGTAATAGTTAGTAGTAGCAGTAGTAGTAGTAGTGACAGTAGGAGTAGTAGGAGTAGTAATTGTAGTGGTAGTGGTAGTAGTAGTAGTAGTAGTAGTAGTAGTAGTAGTAATAGTAGTCGTAGTCGTAGGCGTAGTCGTTGTCATAGTAGCAGTAGCCGTGGCAGTAGTAGTAGTAGCAGTAGTAGTAGTAGTTGTTGTAGAAGTAGTGGAAATAGTAGTGGTAGTCGTAGTCGTGGTCGTAGTCGTAGTTGTCGTAGTAGCAGATGTGGTAGTAGTAGTAGCAGTAGTAGTAGTAGTAGTTGTAGTCGTAGTCGCTGTCATCGTACAAGTAGTAGCAGCAATAATAGTAGTAGTCGTAGTAGTAGTAGTAGTAGTAGTGGTAGTCGTAGTAGTGGTGTTGGTAGTAGTAGTAGTAGTAGCAGTAGTAGTTGGAGTAGTAACTATAGTAGTAGTAGCAGTAGTACTAGTAGTAGTAGTAATAACAATAGTAGTAAGGATAGTGGTAATAGTAGGACTAAACGTAGTAATAGTAGTAGTGGTCGTAACACAAGTAATAGTAGTAATACTAGTAATCATAGTAGTAATAGCAAGAGTAGTAGTAGTACTAGTAGCACTAGTAGTAGTAGTAGTAGTAGTAGTAGTAGTATAGTAGTAGTAGTAGTAGTAGTAGTAGTAGTAGTCGTAGTCGTAGTCGTAGTAGTAGTAGTAGTAGTAGTAGTAGTAGTAGTAGCAGTAGTAGTAGTAGTAGTTATCGTAGTAGTAGTAGTAGTAGTAGTAGTAGTAGTAGTAGTAGTTGGGGTGGTAGTAGTAGTAGTAGCAGTAGTCGTAGTAGTTGCAGTCGTCGTAGTCGCAGTAGTCGTAGTAGTAGTAGTAGTAGTAGTAGTAGTAGTAGTAGTAGTAGTCGTAGTAGTCGTAGTAGTCGTAGTAGTCGTAGTAGTAGTAGTAGTAGTAGTAGTAGTAGAAGTAGGTAGTGTACTCGTAGTTGTTGTCGCTGTCGTAAGAGGATTAGTATCAGTAGCAGTCGTAGTAGTAGTAGTAGTAGTAGTAGTAGTAGTAGTAGTAGTAGTCGTGGTCGAATTAGTAGTAGTGGTAGTAGTAGTCGTAGTAGGAGTAGTAGTAGTAGTCGTAGGAGTTGTAGTAGGAGTTGTAGTCGTAGTAGTAGTAGTAGTAGTAGTAGTAGTAGTAGTAGTAGTAGTAGTAGTAGTAGTAGTAGTAGTAGTAGTAGTAGTAGTAGTAGTAGTAGTAGTAGTAGTAGTAGTAGTAGTAGTAGTAGTGTAGTAGTAGTAGTAGTAGTAGTAGTAGTAGTAGTAGTAGTAGTAGTAGTAGTAGTAGTAGTAGTAGTAGTAGTAGTAGTAGTAGTAGTAGTAGTAGTAGTAGTAGTAGTAGTAGTAGTAGTAGTAGTAGTAGTAGTAGTAGTAGTAGTAGTAGTAGTAGTACTAGTAGTACTAGTAGTAGTAGTAGTAGTAGTAGTAGTAGTAGTAGTAGTCGTAGTAGTAGTAGTAGTAGTAGTAGTAGTAGTAGTAGTAGTAGTACTAGTAGTAGTAGTAGTAGTAGTAGTAGTAGTAGTAGTAGTAGTGGTGGTGGTGGTGGTGGTGGTGGTGGTGGTGGTGGTGGTGGTGGTGGTGGTGGGTGGTGGTGGTAGTGTAGTAGTAGTAGTCGTAGTCGTAGTCGTAGTTCGTAGTCGTAGTCGTAGTAGTCGTAGTAGTAGTAGTAGTATAGTAGTAGTAGTAGTAGTAGTAGTAGCAGTAGTAGTAGCAGTAGTTGCAGTTATAGTAGTAGTAGTAGTAGTAGTAGTAGTAGTAGTAGTAGTAGTAGTAGTAGTAGTAGTAGTAGTAGTAGTAGTAGTAGTAGTAGTAGTAGTAGTAGTAGTAGTCGTAGTCGTAGCAGTAGTAGTAGTAGTAGTAGTAGTAGTAGTAGTAGTCGTAGTAGTAGTAGTAGTAGTAGTAGTAGTAGTCGTAGTAGTAGTTGTAGTTGTAGTCGTAGTAGTAGTATTTTCAGTGCCCTTTTCAAGTAGGTTCGCCTCCACCCTGCTCACAATCTGTCGATTGGACCACATGTGAAAATTTCTTGATTGCAGCACATTTTAACATTGACGAAACCAAAGGAGTTCGAACACGGCCACGAAAAACTGGCCGCGCAACGGCGCGGGCGCACACCACATCAAGGAGTGCGCTACACAGCCCCAGGCTGTTCACTCATTTTTGCACCCCCCTCCCTTTTTCACCCCCCGCATCTTTCTTATATTCCTGGGGGGCTTGCGCCACCATGCTGGCCGGAACGATCGGGCGCCTTTGCTGCGGCCAATCGAGGGGGCCGGGCGACCCAGAAGGCATACATTTTCTTGACAGTAACCATCGAGATCCGTGCTGTGTTCTTTGTGCCAGCGACCTCATACAGTTTACGCTCGAGCCGCAGTATTTAGTTGTCTTCGACGGTCGGAAGGTGTGCACTTGTAATAGTTGCCAGATGTTTGGGCTCAGGGGTTGAAAGTAAACTTGGAACCTTCCCCAGGGTGCGTTCTGGCCAGAACTCCGCAAGGAGTCAGACCGTTGCCACGCGGTGGGGCTGGAGGTCCCAAGAGACCTTGGGAGATTGAGCGAATGCCAATCTCGCACAGAAACCTCGACTATCTATCGTCTTCCCTCTTGTCGTGTTCTCCGTTTCAAGGGGTCGAGAGGTGTGGGGGTCCATGTCTCGGACAACTGAGTCGCCAGATGTCCAGGTCCAGCCCCTCCCCGCCCCGATCCGCTGCGGGACGCCCGAGGTGCGCCTGTACACACTGGCGGTCCGACATGAACGTGTCGTGGCAGGACGGGGGTTACTGGAACGTTTCAACTGTCCAAGGCCATCAAATTTCGGCGGCGATCGGGGGGAGAAGCGAAAAGGAGCAGGCCTTCTCAGAAGGTTGCGTGGCTTCTCAGAAGCCTTCCGGCCTTTGCGAAGTTTTCTGTGTCTTCGGGGAAGGCTCAGGCAATTCCTCAGAAGGCAGGGGGGCTACCGAGCCTTCTGAGAAGGCCCGCCCCTTCTCACTTCCCCCCTGGGCTCGCCGCCGAGAGTTGCAAAATGCGGGACCTCCATGAGTTTTCGAAGACTGTGCAGATTTCTTCGGTCGGCGCTTGACCTCGTTCACGGCCACCCCTGGCGGCGCCTCCGACGCAGCCCACAGCGCGCTCCGCGCGTCGGCGAGGGGTGAGGGGAGGGGGGGCTGGGCTTCGACCCAAGAAGTCCGCGCGGACGTCGCAGAGTGTGGTACTCGTGTGGTTTTTGATTTCCTCCAGGCTGGCCGTCGATCTCGAAGGTGGAGGGGAAGAACCCCCACCTGGCCTGGGACACCGACGGCGACAAGGACCTGCACGACGGGCACCCGTACTGCGATCCGCTGTCGCTCGAGGCCGACGTCCCGTATCCCGTGCTCTGTGGCCCCTGCGACTGTCTGGCAGGGAGGCGGCAGGATCTCGAGAAGAAGTTATTGTATTCGAGTGCTGGGGAGCAGGAGTACATCATTTGCCTTCCGTGCTCCCCTGGCTTCTACAGCGGCGAAAGCACGTCCGCGCAGTGCACCGAGTGCGGGCGAGGGGAGTACACGGACGCAGAAGGCGCCACTGCGTGCTCGTTGTGCCCGGCGGGCAGGTACAGCGGCGTGGAGGGGGCTTCCCAGTGCGCCGACTGCGAGCTGGGGAAGTACATGGGCGAGGAGGGGCAGACCGAGTGCATGCCGTGCGCTGCGGGGTCTGCGAGCTCCTCGCGCGGGCAGAGCGCATGCGACCTCTGCGTGGTCGGGACCTACGCGGAGTTCGAAGGCCAATGGATGTGCTCGGAGTGCAACGCTGGGGAGTACACGGCAGAGAACGGGTCTTCTAGCTGTACAAGTTGCCCAGCGGGGGAGTACTCGTCGACGTCGAAGTCCTCCAAGTGCGAGCTATGTAGCCCAGGCTATTATTCCGCGGAGGAGAAGTCCGTTACCTGTGACTTCTGCGCGCCTGGGAGGTACGCCGCGGAGAGAGGCATGACCGAATGTGAAGTGTGTGCTGTGGGGCGGTCGGCTGATATCGCGAAGGCTGCCTGCGCGATGTGTGAGCCTGGGACCTACGCTGGCCAGGTCGAAAGCGCGGAATGCGCGCAGTGTCCAGTCGGCTTCTTCATCGGCACTGAGGAGGCGGATGCGTGCATGGCTTGCCAACCCGGGCAGTTTGCTGATGAGGAAGGGTCGACTGCGTGCCAGGATTGTGCGGCTGGGAGGATCAGCGCGGACGAGGGCGCGAGCATGTGCACTATTTGCCATCCCGGGACCGCAGCTGACAGAGGCTCGTCCGAGTGTGAGATGTGCCCCGAGGGCAAGTTCACCGACTCCTTCGAGGAGCCCGCCTGCCGAATCTGTGAAGCCGGGACCTACAGCGGCGAGCCAGGTTCAGGGACAACGGTAAGGGGGGAAAGGCTCATCGGGTGTGCATCGGCCCCCAATTGCCCATTCATCGCCGACAGGCGCCCGACAGCCCGTTCCCGTCCAGGCATGTGCGGATTCGCCATGGGGGGCCCATCGCCGATCTATTGCCGATGCATCGTCCATTCTGGCTCGATATTCCCCCCCTGAGCCTGTCCCCGGTCCCCCCTATCGTTTCCCCCTCGCAGGCTCGGCCTCGTGCGAGGACTGCAGCCAGGGGCGGGCGGCGGGGCCGGGATCGTCGGCCTGCGAGGATTGCGAGAGGGGCAAGTTCGCCATCGCCACCAAGAGCCCGAGCTGCTCGGAGTGCAATCCCGGAACTTTTGCGGCCACCGAGGGGTTGACCGCCTGCAGTGCTTGCAACCAGGTTCGTGGGTCAGAGCCCGAAGCATCTCGTCTCCAATGCCTTCTCGTCGTTCTCCTCCCCCGCCTCCTCCATGCCTCTGCAGACAACCTGGCCGCTTCAACGCTTCAACGTCACGTATGGCCGTTTGCCTGTAAGTGTCGAGCGTCGCGCTGCGAGCTGTTGTGTCAATCACTCATCCGCAAGCTACGAGTGCTACTGGCTCAAGACTGCCGAAAACAAGTCGGTCACTATCACGCTGTCGTTTCTTCATCATCAACTCACTCGAGTCGGCCTGTGATGTCGAAGGGTGGTGCGTACAAGACCGAGAATCCTGTTGGCAGCCTACCACAGCCGAAAGAGTTTTACACTGACGTCAACAATGACAACCTGACGAACGACGAGAAAATCGACGGATCTCAGACATGCTGTCGGACTTTACCCTAGACCCAGCCCAAACGAAACTGGTGGCGAGCATTGCAAGTGTCACAGCAAAGACAGCAATGACGGCCATGAGAGAGGTCAAGGAGACTGTTCAAATCGAACCGCGAGTTGAATAATGACATCAACGTGATCAAAGAGGATATCAACACAACCACAAACAACAACAACCAGGAAACACAGGCACAAAGGACAATATCAAACATATGGTTGCATTGTGCTTTGACGAACCACTGTGCTCAAACGTTGTTTTGATATTCAAATTGGAAAGTGTATGAAAGCATATACAGGGATATATCAGCAATTTCAGCGTGTGGTTACGCTCGGGCATGTACATATATATGTATATATACACGTGTATATATACACACATATGTATATATGTATGTGTGTGCGTGTGTGCATTTTACAAAGTATACCAGGAGATCGAGGACACAAGCATGGTTTGAGTATTGATTCTTTACGAAACAACCCAGCCACGAAGGAACACAAACAAACGGTTGGTCTACGCGAAGTTCCAACGACGCGAAGATCCGAAACACCAGAACGACATTGTTCAGATCTTTTGGGGCAAAGGGATAGTTGCCGCAAATGGTAGGAAAGCCACATGGTACGATGCGCACGGGCCGTGGAAAAAAAAGGTGGGCAATTCATTAAACATTCTCTTTCCCACCAAATCAAACCAGACCCCGACGCGGACAGTGAGTTGTGAGAGTTCAGAGAGTGACGCTTCGCGGCTGTTTCAAGATGGCGGCGCTGACGCTCTCAGTGCAAGTCACGCGGTAACAGTATTTTACCCTTCCGGTTCCTCCGTGCCCGTTGTTTTGACAGGCGGAGGCGCGCAGGTACATCTAGCAGGAGAGCCTTATCAAAATCAGCCTCAAGTTTCATATCCAGCTCGGCCTTCCGACCTCCAGCCCCGAGCGCTCCGCTACCCATTTCACCCCCGCCCATCGGCCACCAGCGTCCACCAGCTCAGCACTCCGACCTCCGACTCCCGGAATCGGGCTCTCCACGCCCACCTCGACCGCCAGCGCCTACCGGCTCAGCACTTCGACCTCCAACTCTTCGCGCCCGACTCCCCCGTTCCACTTCCGAATGTCGACCTCCGGCGTCCACCGCCCTTGCCTTCCGACGTCCAACCGCTAGCATCCGACTTTCCGCATCCATTTCCGCCAATCGACCTCCAGCCGCCATCAGCTCAACATTCCGACCTGCAACCTCCAGCATTCGACTCGCCGCTTCACCTCCTTTCAACCTCCAACGACCGCCCTCTCAGCATTCGGACCTCCGACCTCCAGCGTCCGACCCCCCATTTCCACCTCCGCCGATCGACCCCCGGCGTCCGCCAGCTCAGCGCTCCAGCCTCCGATCTCTAGCTCGCCCCCGGCGCCCGCCAGCTTAGCAGTCCAACCTCCGACCCCTGGCATCCGACCCCCCATGGCTACCTCCGTCCGTCGCCCTCCAGCGCCCGCCAGCTCGGTATTTCAACTCCCGATCTCTAGCATCCAGCTCTTCGCCCCCGCCGCCGCCGATCGACCTCCGGCGCCCGACAGCTCGGCAACCCAACCTCCAGCGCCCGGCCTTCCGCGCCCTCGCCCGCGAATCGACCCCGGCGCCCGCCAGCTCAGCATTACAACCTCCAACCGCCAGCCCCCGGCCCTCCACTTCCGCCTCCGCCTATCCACCCCCGGCGCCCACCAGCGCAACATTTCAACCTCCAATCTCTCGCGCCCGACTGCCCGCATCTTCCAGCGCCCGCCAGCTCAACATTCTGACATCCAACCCTTAGTGCAGCATCTGCCCCTGCACCCCCCCCCTCCGTTGACCACCAGCATTCGCTAGCTCAGCGCTTCAATCTCCGACCTTCGGCATCCGACCCCCCGCGGCCGCCGAGGCCGTGAGAGAGTCGCGCGCGACCCAGTGGGGCGCGATATTGCCCGGCGAGATTGGGGGGCGACAAGTTATATCACGGGCGGCCACATGTTCATGGCTCGCAAACTTTTTGGACTGCGGGTCGAGAGCGAGCCTCTTCCGGTTAAGAGCTAGGCGGGCCGCGCAAAGCACTAGTTGGGGAGACAGGGCGCGGGCGGGCGGGGCCTCGGGCGCCCGGGGGGCGCGGGGCGCAGGCGGCGCTGAAGAGCTTGCACAGGAAAAGGTGCAGCTTGGAGGCGAGGTCCCGGAGGGTAAGCGGAGTGGCGCCGCCGTCGACGGCGCGTCAAAATCACCAACCCCGAGCGCTGCGCGCGGAGGGGCGCAAGCAGAGCGACGTCCGGGGTGTAGAAGTCCACCGCGTAGCCGACGAGCAACTTGCGCCGCCAAGTTGTGGGGGGAGGCCCAGGGGATAAGGGGGGCCACGGAGACGATGTGCAGCGCTGTGCCACCAGGTGGTCGGTAGCGGCCCGGGGTGGTAGTCCAGTCCACGTCCAGGAAGCAGCCGAGGGGCGAGGCCAGAGGCAGGGCCGCCTGTGTCCGACTGGATGTCGGCGGCGTGCAGGGAGGAAGCTTGTCCTGCACAGTCAGCGCGCGAAGACGGGCGGGGGCCGCGCGCGATGCGCTGACGACCGCGCGGCCGAGGGCCGGGCCTGAGCCGCGCTGCCCAAGGCAGGCGAGGCCGCCGAAGCGGCAAGGTGCAGTGCCCCGCGCCGGGCCGGAGCCGCGCCGCGCCGGGCGCCGCCGCCGTGGGGGGGGGGGTCGAGCGGGGGGGGGGCGAACAGGGGGGGGAGAGGCCGGCGCCCCGCGCCAGCCGAAGTCGCGCCAGTTTGCACAGGCGCGCACACGCGGGGGCAAGCCCTGATGCGCACAGGCAAGACACGAGGTCCCAGCAGGTAAAGAGCCGATGGGCACAGGAGGGATGCAGAGCCCCAGATCCTCGAGCCTCACACAGCCGATTGGTGCAGGTAGGACACAGAGTCCCAGATTCTTCGGAAACAGCCGATGGGCACCGGGGGGGGCACAGAGTCCCAGATGCTTGAATCACAATCAGCCGAAGGGCACAGGTAGGACACAGAGCCCCAGATGCTTGGGAAACGGGAGGGAAGGAGGGGAGAAGGAGGAGAGGGCGGAGTCGTCCGACAGGACATCGAGCCGATAGCGATAGCGATAGCGATAGAGGGCGGAGTCAGGTGCGGGTGAGGATCAGGGATGGGGGCGCAGGAAATTGGCGATTGGCAAGTTGTGCAGCGGTGCTGCGGGGCAGGCGTGGCAGGGCCGACGGCGGTCAGCGCCGCGGGCGCTTTCCAGTCCGGGCGCCGTGGTACCCGGAACTGCGCGCCGGGTCCCCGTCGCGCCCGTCACCCGTAGGGGCCTCCTTCTTCCTCTGCACCTCCTGGTAGAACCTCTGTTCCCGCTCCCAGTCCACGTAGACGCCTGCGCTGCTGGCCCATCGGTCCACGTGGTAGTTGTTGGCGTTCATGTCGTCCAGGAACTTGTCGATGTTCCACTGCTGCCAGCGGCGTGGGTCGAAGGGCGCCTGGTCGTTGGATTTGCCCTTGCCCTGCTCCTTGTGCGCGCGCCTGCGCCGCGAATGCCAGGCCACGTTAAAGTGCCCCCCCCCTTCTTTCTGAAACTTCTCGAGGTGTGTTACTGCTGTCTCGCTTGGAAGGCGCTGCCATCCATCGGTTTGCATTGTTGTTTTGGGTGGGTTATCTCTCTCTCTCTCTGTCTCTCTCTCTCTCTCTCTCTCTTTCTCTTTCTCTTTCTCTTTCTCTTTCTCTTTCTCTTTCTCTTTCTCTTTCTCTCTCTGTCTTTCGCTCTCCTTCATCGGGGCCCCAACTTCTCCTTGCCGCCACCGCAGGATCCCCTTTGTTGCGCATTGCAATCGGATTTCTTCTTCACGAAGAATTACCAGATAAATTATGTTGTTTAAGGTTGCATTCGCTTTCCTTCTGCAGAGGGTTCCAAAATAATTCCTTTTGCTGACGATTACACTAGATTTCCTTTCTGTGACGGATTGCAGAAGAATTCCGTTTGGGAAATATGTCAATCGGATTCTTTTCGAAGGGGTGCACATTGGGACTACTATTGTGGACGATTCTTTTACAATTACATACAAACCGTATTGAACGGATCCACCTCTCATAGAATCCTATCACAGATGTGTCCACCTCTACTAGATTCACACTACATATGGGTCCACCGAATAGAACCCGATTGCAGACGGGTAAACATCACATAGAATCATATTACATATGGACCCACGCCGAATGGAATCTTATTAAAGATGGAGCCACCTCTGATAGAATCCGATTAGACATGGATCCGCCTTCTAACAGAATCCTACTACAGATGGATCCACCTCTAATATACTTCTATTACATATGGATCCACCCCGAATGGAATCCGATCAGAGATGGATCCACCCCGAATGCGATACTATCTGAGCGAGATCCACCTCTATTTGAGTCCTGTCAGTGTCAGAGATGGGTGCACCTCTAGTAGAATCCGACTACAGATGGATGCGCCCTTAATGGAATTCTACAGGGATGTATCCACTTCGAATGGGACCCCAGTACAGATGAAGCCACCTCTAGCATAATCCCATTCGGGATGGAACCACCTATGATGGAATCCTCTTAGTTCAAATATATTCCTATTACATGTGGGTTCAGCTCTAATGGGGGCCGGTTAGAGATGGATCTATCACTCATAGAATCATACTTGAGATGGACCCACTCCTGGTGGTATCCTCTTAGCGATGAGCCCGCCTTTGGTAGGGCCCACTTAGGGCTGGATCCACATGTGCTGGAACCCGTTTAGAGATGGATCCACCTTTACTAGAAGCATATTACATATGGATCCACCTCTACCATAACGCTATTACTGATGGATCCACCTCTAATAGAATATTATGACATGTGGTCCACCTCTATTTCAATATTAACACATTCGGACCCACCTCTAATGGAATCCGATTAGAAATGAATCCGCCCCTACTGGGATCACAGTAAAGATGGGCCCATCTCGAATGGACTCCTATCACAGAT